AACAATCAGCACATTGACAGAATGTTCTATAGATAATGGGCCCGGGAGCATCTGTTTTCTGGGCAGACAGAGGATTCAGTTAGGAGCCATGTCTTTTTTTTTATCTGTTGTCCCACAGCAAGGACATTTTCTCATTATTTTATGGGCACAAAGGAGTCTAGGGGAATAGTTGACTTCAGTGAAGTGGAATTTATGTCAAGGCCACTTCACTGTTTTATTTTAAGATGGAGTCAGACTTTAAAATGGAGTTAGTTAGGCCTCACAAGTTTACCTTCCCACCAATAGTATAGAAGGGTTCTCAGCCTAAATTTTGTTAATTTTTTACTTTGATCTTTGTATATAATTTCCTTCCTTGTAGTAGCTTGTTTTTCTTGGACTTGAAGGTGCATCATTAGGTTATTTGTGTGGACTTGTTGTGTTTTTCTGTTGTGGGCATTCACAGTTGTAAACTCCCCTCTTAGGACTGCTTTCACTGTGTGCCATAAGTTCCAGTATGTTGTAATGGCACTACATTCAAAGCAGGAACTGTTCCTAGGAATTTCTTGGTTGATGTTTCCTGTGACCCATTGCTTATTCAAGAGTGTATTGTTTTTATTTCTATGTGTTTACATAATTTCTGTGGTTTCTTTTGCTTTTACCTTTTATTTAAATTGTGCTTTGATATGATAATATACATCAGACAATTTTGATTCTTTTGCAATTACTTAAGCATGCTTTATGGGTTAGTGTGTGGTCTTTTTCCATGTGCTGCTGAGAAGAATGTTTTGTGTTGTTGGGTGTAGATATCTTTTGAGTCCATTTATTCAAACTCTGATTTTTTTTTTGTCTAGTTCATCTGTCTTATTTGTGATAGTGGGGTATTGAGATTCCTCACTATAATTATGTTGATGTTTGTCTGATTTTTTTATGTCCCTTATTTTTTTTTTATGAAACTCTGATGTTCACTGCATAGTGGTTTATAATTGTTACTCTTTTTTTTTTTAATTATTTCCTCTTCAGTTTCGGCTTGAAGTCAAGCTTGTCTGAAAATAGGAGATCTTTTTTTGGGATAAGCTAGTGCTTATTTTCAGCTTCCTGTTGCATGGAGTATTATTTTCCATCCTTTGATTTTAGTCTATGAATTTCTTTTAGAATTTCGTGTTTCCAGTATACAGAATAATACTGGGTTTTGTTTCTTGATCCATTCGGCCTGTCTGTCTCTTTTGATTGGCGAATTGAGATTTACTACTGAACAATACTCAGTTATTCCTGTGATTGCATTACATGCCTGTTGCAGATTCCCTTTTTTTCCCCCTTTTGGGTAATGGCTCATCCTGCTTGCTATATTCATTTTGTTAGTCTGTTTAGCATTGTTAGCTTCCTTGTCTTTTTCTAGGTTATCCTTGAGAAATTTCTGGAGTGGTTGTTTGGTGGTCATGAATGACTTAAGGTGCTCTTTGTCATGGAAATACCTTATTTCTCCATCAGTTTTGAAACATAGTTTTGTGGCATGTGTCATTCTGGGTTGGAAGTTATTTTCTTTTAGGGCTTGAAACAGTTCACTCCAACTTCAAGGTTTGTGTTGAGAAGTTTGCTGTAATTCTAATGTGTTTACCTGTGTTAGTTTTTACTGTTTATTAAATACATTATCTGTTTAGTTATATCTTCTTTGACTTCAAAGTATTTTATAGATCTTTTTTCATCTCCTATTTTGTAATTTCAAATAATTCAACTGTGTGGCTTTTGAACTTTTCCCCTTCCCTGCATCATGGATCAACTTTAGGGGAGATGGAAGCTTTTGGAGGGTTTTTTTTTTTTTGCCTTGTGTTCTCATTTTTTTGTTTGTTTGTTTGTTTTGTTTTGTTTTGTTTTTTGTTCTGAGATTTCTGAGTCAATTATAGTGGAAAGACTTTGTTGCTAGTATGGAGAACTCTTTAGTTAGTATCTGCTTTTCAGTTATGTACTATGGCTATTGCTAACTGTAGGCCTTCTGCCCAAAGATCCAACCACCTCTGTTAATTTGGGTGGAGAGGGTACAGTGTAGTTGGCCCAGCAGCCGCTTCTCTAGGAATGGGCCACAAAGGCAGTGTGCAGATATCAGCACACAGAAAACCCCTTACTAGCAATAACTATGCCACCCTGGCAGTAACAATAAAATCAGCAACAGTAATAAGGTCAAACATAAATTGGAAGCTGGGTGTGGTGGCGCATGCCTGTAATCCCAGCACTCAGGAGGCTGAAGCAGGAGGATTGCTGCAAGTTCAAGGCCAGCCTGGGCTACAAAGTGAGTTCAGGGCCAGCCTGAACTACAAAGGGAGACCCTAACTCAAAAGAAAAAAAAATCTCATAAATTGGATATTGACCTTTGACCATAGGAAAGAGATCTATAATTATAGTATCAACACTAAGACCAACCAGATATTGACATAACAGTATATATCTACTAATTGTAAAAACTGTGTCTCAAACAATAGAAAAGAATTCAACAGAAAGAGCATAGAATTATGTGACTATCAAGTTTATGAAGAAGCTTAATGGCTATATTAGTAAAGTTAGAGAGGCTGTGAAACTTAAAAATAAAGTAAAATTTGAAAAATTAAGCAATGGAAAATGAGGAGGGGAAAATAAGAAAAGATTCTATTAAGGAGTAAAAGGAAATTAATAGAAGTAGACACACGTAACAAGGGAAAGAAAATATTTTAAGTTTTTAAACTTTAAAAATTAAACATTAAAAAACTAAAAAAATGAAAAAGATAAAGGAAATGGGTCCTGTGTATTTTTTAATTTTAATAAATTTTGTTTTATCTCATTCCCCCTCTCCAGCCCCCTCCCCGCCCTAATGTACAAAAGCTTTGTTTCCATTTTTTTCCTTCATTTCTGTGTATTTTTGAATGATTGCTTTCTTTCCAGGGTCTGCAGTCTTGGAATTGAGCAAGTCACAGTTTTCTCCACCTAATTTTAGGGCCTGTGGGTTTGTGAGCTGAACCCTCTCCTCCAGAGGCCCCTCTATACACCCCATACTTTGACAACTATCCAAGCCCTAGTGTTTCCTTGCTCATGTTGGCAGATGGAGAAAGCAGTCAGGCCATTGATCTCTGCTAGATGTAGACAGTGGGGTGGAGGTTCAAGCAGACCACTGGACTTAATGCCAGCACTTTCAGACCCAGCCACCTCTGAAAGCCACACACAGCAGGCAGGGCTGGCTTCTTGCTGTGGAGGACAGGGGCCACATCCTCCTGAGCCTGAGCTTAAACTTCTCAGAGGCTCTATGTCTAGCCTGCTGCACCCTCTCTGTGACTGTCTCTTGTGGCTGTCTCCCACCCAGTCACTGTGGTAGGGTAACACTGGAAACCCTCAAGTGAAGTTGTTCTGTGGTTGTACTGTGGCTTAGAGTCAACAATTAACCCCCTTCCCAGTATGGCTCTGGATTAAACACTTTCAAATATGCTGGATGCTGCCCTGGATTTCTTCATCAACTGCAGTCTGCTATGGAGGAGTCACTTTTGGAGTAAAACCTCATGCTGGTCTTGAAGTTTATGGTAACTGTGAGTGTTTGTTGGGGCTAGTGCTGCTGGCCCTGTCTGCTGTTTCTCCCTGGAGCTAATCCTCCAGGATTACCTCCTGTCTGCAGACCCAGGGCCCCCTCCCTAGGAGCCAGGGCCAGCTTTCCAGAATGCTTCTTTCTTTTCTCTGTGTTAGGTTCCATTTCTCCAGCTCTCAGTAGTTTGTAGTTTTCCTGTCAGCTCCCTCCCAATTCCTGACAGTCTCCTACTGTTTTTGTCTTCACCAAGTTGTTGTGCCTTGATTTGGGTCCTGGAGAGTCTTTATTCTGCTGCTCGTCACTACCCTGCTGTTTTTTCTAAAATATTTATTTTAGAAAATTTTTCTTATAGGAAAATGTTTCTGATTTCAATCTTCTTTATGAAAATTTTCCATATATGTTTTCAGATATCTTTTGTAACCCAGCCAGCCCATTTTCAAACACTCTTTTTTTTTGGTTCTGGGGATCGAACTCATTGCAAGGCAGGTGGTGGCACCACTGAGCTAAATCCCTGGCTCTTCCAAACACTTACATGCATCATTTTTCTAATTTTAAAAATGGTAATAAAATTCCTAATTATTAGAATATCACTAAGGGCACCATGTGCTGACACTTGGCTATAATCCTTGCTTTTGGGAGACCGAGGCAGGAGGATCACTGTGAGTTCCAGGTTAGCCTGGGCTACATAGTGAGTTCAAGGCCCACCAGAAAGAACTACATAGTGAGACCCTGTCTCAAAAGAAAAAAAAAGTCACTGGGATAAATTAGAAATATTTGACATTAAATAGAAGTTAACCAATAAACCAGAATTTCAGAAATTAGAGGATTTATGTTACCGGGTCACCTTTCCATACTTTAATAATAAAATGACACAAGGAACTGCATTGTTTAGAAATGATCTCAGTTGACTGACAGTGAGCTATCTGCAACTGGGGCTGTCTTGACCCATCAAGAAGCAGCCACCAAACTCAGCTTCTAACGAGACTGGTATTGCTTGCCCTTTCTAATAAGGTAAATGGTAATTTCCCACAGGCCCCAAAGACTCCAGGTCCTGAATAGCAGGCGTTTCTTAAGGAGCAAGCATCAAAGCCTGTACTCCTGGTGCCTTTTTACTAAAAAGGCTCCTCCTGTGATTGCCCTTTAAGAAGTACGAGAAAGGAGGAGGCAAGGTCTTTTCTCTGAGACTCGGCTCCACAGTGTGTGACTGTAGAGCATCCTGGTCATATCCTGTGTCCAGAAGAACTGTGAGGAAATGAGATCCTCATGGATTCTCTGGTTTATTGACCCTGCCTCCCAAGTTTCCTTTTTCTTTCAGTAAGAGTTTTTAAAAACAAGGTTAAATAATAGTTAATGATACTTTCTATTGTTCTGAATCCAGTGATTCTTGGTAGATGACAAATAAGGACCGTGCAAGGGAACCATCTTGCATAACAAATAACTTAGTTTGTAATTGTATTCCAACTTTTCTCTCCTGGTGTAGGATTCTGAATTGGAGCCTATGAATGGTGAGATAATGGATGATACTCTTAAGACCTCACTTGTAACTGAAGAGGAAGACTCCTGTAGTGAAGAAGAATTAAAAGTGCAGTCTTCTAATTCCAGTGAAGATACTGCAAATAGTGTTCCGCTGGTGGTAGAGTCTTCAAAACCCCCTGAGACTGTGGCACTGGATAAAGTAAGCCACAAATAACCTTATTTTATTAAAGTGCCAGTATTATAGTCTGTATATTTCTTCTACCTTAACAGTCCTTCAGGAAAATTAATTTTTATTTTAGATTTGATATTGTAAGAAAATAGTCATTAATATTCCATAAATTCAAATCTTTGTAACCTTGATTTATATCTTCCTTATGGGGTTCAGTCTATCATCAATTAAGAGAAATTATATCTGCCTTATGAAAAATGAGCTTTATTTTGTAAACTTAGGGAAATGTTTAGAAAAATGGATAAAACATGATTTACCAAATATTTGACTCCTTACTGTTTATGTGGCCTCTGACCAATGCAGTAATTTTAACTTTTTTTGGGGGGGGGGGGCCCGGGTAATGGGGATCGAACTCGGGTCCTTGAGCTTGCGCAGCTGGTGGCAAAACCACTGAGCTAAATCCCCGGCCCATTAATTTGTTTTATTTAGGGAAACAAATTAGTTGAAAAAGAACTTGATTTTAAAATAATTTTAACTTTTTTTTTTGGTACTGGGGATCGAACTCAGGTCCTTGCACTTGCGCAGCAGGCGGCAAAACCACTGAGCTAAATCCCCGGCCCAACTTTTTTTTTTTTAAATCAGGCTAAAAAACTATTGTATGTGATTGTCTTATTGTATCTCACTTAAATCAGTGAATAAAATTTATATTGCCTTTTACCTATTAGGTAATGAAACAATAGTCAAACTAAATGGGTAGGACAGTATTACATCCCAAGGGATTCTTTGCTTTGGCTCCAGTGACACCAGGATGTTAAAAATTTATAGGTGATCCATGGTTTTGAAGAATCATAATACGAAGTTTTACCTCTCTGAGGTAAAATAACTACTTTTATTATATCTATGAAGTAAGAATTTAGTGTATTAGAATTGCCAGGAGATAATTTCAAGGATACAGAGTGTGTATATGTGATTGACAAAATAATAAAATTCATTGTCATTGGATATTAATATCTGAGAATTCGTTTTAGAACTGTACTGAAAAAAGCTTATTCACCCAAGATTTTTATTTTCAGACCCAACACGTAGCTGACTCAGAAACGTTGATAGCCCAAGGCCCATCTGATGACAAGGCACACACCGAGGAGAAACTGCCCCCAGTTCTGAGAAAGAAAACACATTTGGGGAATTCAGACAATGTTGAAGAACGAGGTGACAGTGGTCTTCCGAACTCTGTGATAGCTGAATTGTCTGAAGAACCAGTATCTGAGAATTTATCACCCAACACTACTTCATCAATGGAAGACCAGGGTGAGGAGGGGCCTGAGCCCCAGGAAACCTCTACTGCTCTTCCTCAGAGTTCTTTAATAGAGGTGGAACTTGAAGATGTGCCATTTTCACAGTATGCAGGACAGAAGAACCAGTCAGAGGAGCAGTCTGAAGCGTCATCGGAGCAACTGGATCAGTTTACGCAGTCAACAGAAAAAGCTGTGGATAGCAGCTCAGAGGAGGTTGAAGTGGAAGTGCCTGTGGTGGACAGGCGGAATTTAAGAAGAAAGGCCAAAGGGCATAAAGGACCCGCCAAGAAGAAAGCCAAGCTGACCTGAATGAAGAAGAGATGCGTATAATAAATCCTCTTCTTTGTAACATAATTGTTTTTTAAATATTGTAATTAATAAACAGCATGGGTGCAGGAGAAAAATTTCCAAAATTCCAATTTCAATTTATTTATAATGCAGTTTTTCTCTTCCCTTTAGGATCTAAGATTCAACATTCCTTTTAATTTTTCAGGCTTTGTGTAAATACAGTTTTTTATTTTTCTTAATCGTTTTTCAATTTGGGGTAACCAGATCATATTATATTTTTCTTTAACAGGTGGAACATCTGACCATTAATATTTGAAAAAATATAAATTAAAAAAAATTTGAAAGTAGTTGGCTGTTACTTATAAGGACCACAGAAGTCTTTTATATTAAGGATTTTAAAACTTGGTGAGAGTTCTAGAAGGTTTTTCTTGATATATCAAAACTAATAACCAGTTTTTAAAATGTAGGCATGCCTAAACAGAAATAAAGTGTCAGTAAATTAGAATAATTATAACCTCAAGTAAATGAGAGCACAAAAATGGAAGTATATGGTCAAAAATTTATGAAAACATTTGGTTTTGGCCTCTTGTAGATGGAGTTATCTTCCTTCAACTTCAATGTCTGCAAAGTTACATGAAAATATATTTCTGTGGCATGTGGCACATTATCTAAAATTCCATTTATAGATGCTTACAAGTTTAAGAAATACTTTCACCTTCAACATGTAGACATCCCAGAAAATGAAATTTAGGAATATAGTTTAACTTGGACTCTGTGGTCCTGAAGACAGATAATGAGATGCTTTTGTTCTCATCCAATATTGATGTCTCAGAAGTGTGAGTCTCCTTCCTAAACCTCCTTAACCCGCCTCCTGCCCAAACTCTCTAGTCTTATTTTCACCTCAGCTTTCATTGTCTCTTGCTCAGTGATTCTTTTGGCAAATGGTCTGCCTGAAAGCTTATGCCTTGGTATCTGTTCTTGCTTAGGTTTGGAAGCACACCCCTAACCTTAGACCTGCATGGCAGGGGTAAAGCTGCCCTTGGAGGTGTAGTTACAAGAGCTTAATTCAAATTAGAAGGCTCTGTTACCCATTTGGTCTTGCTCACTAGATCTGTTCTGTGAATACTGGTTGTAACCTAGCCTGTATGTGTAATTTGTGTCTCCGTAGCAGAATTTATTTGCTTAGAAAAAGTTGGAGGGGTAAAAAGTTCCTAAAATGTTTGTTTTGTACAGTGGTTTTAAAATGAGCAAAATGGTAGAGTCCAAAGAGAATCTCTGCAGTATGACGTGTTCGTAATTTGCAATCAAGTTGGAGAATGTTTTGAGCCCATTTTGATTTGTTTTTGAAACATCTTGTTCTTGATCTGTATGTGAAAGAACCATATTAGACTGTCATTATTTGAGGTACCATGGAGTTGATTTTTGTGGAAGATTTATTCAGCCTTCAGGTCAGGTGATATAATGCCATTACATTTTATTTGGAGATATTAGATTTTAGAACTTAAAATCTTTAAGCAGGCAAAATACTAAACCTTTTTATTTTTTATTTTTTGGTACCGGGGATCAAACTCAGGACCGAGTTTAAGGCAGGCGAGGCGCCACTAAGCTAAATCCCCGGCCCTTAAACCTTTTTATTATTATTAGATCTTGAAGACTTATATTTTCTATTTTCTTTACTGATCAGCAGAAGTGAAATAATTTCATTCTAAGTGAAAACTAAGGCATTTTTGCCATTTGTTTTCTCAACAAATAAGTGAATACTAGTGAATCTATCAAATATTCTTGCTGTTCTATACCTTTTGAGGAACTTAATATCACAACTAAGGAAATAACTTAAGATTTAGAAAATTCTTTTCCATTTTTCATTTCTTAAACTATTTAAAAACTTAAATGTTTTACTCAGTTCTTCTCATTCTCTTTATTCTTTAAATAGATCTTTTAAAAATAAGACCACACTAAAAAATGATTACACTCACTGATAACTCTTGATGTTTGAATTTGAAAAAAATAAAAATTTGAAAAAATGATTATGTATGATGGCAGGGGCTAACAGTATAAACTTACATTTGTTAAACTTGTTTAAACAAGGAGTTTTGAGCAATTTCAACTTTTTGTTCCGCACACAAAGATTTTCGTGGGGTGGGGATTTAGCTCAGTGGTCCCACCACCTGCCTCACAAGCTCAAGGTCCTGAGTTCCATCTCTGGTACCAAAAAAACCATTTTTCTTTCCTATTATGTCTGACAGAAAACATCCTTGGGTTTATAGATCAGAGAGAAAAATTTAGTCACATGCAAAAGCCTCTCATGTTCAGTAACTTGATTATATAAAATTTATCCTCAATAGGGAGTCTAATCAGATAGTTGTAGTTTTTGCAAGGCATTCGCAAATCTGAGAATTAGAGGACAGCAATATAATTTCAGCCAACTAATCTAGTTGAATGTTCAGTTGCATTCTACATAGTCCTTTGTGAATTACTTTCTGTTGTCTTGTTTGCAGAAAAAGGTTCACTTTTTGTGTACATACCTATATATTTCCTTAAGTAATATAAAGCAGATGGTTATTAGAATTTTAGTTATACTTTTTTATTCAGTTGCTAGGCCTCACAGAAATTAGTATATTTAAGAATTTATTATAAAGCTCCTCTACAACTTTTAAAGTCAAGAGGTTCTATTATGATTTTTTTATAAAGTCAAACAGCATGACTTAGAATGTCAGTCTTCTACTTAAAATGTGTCTATGTTCATGTTTCCATTCAATGCAGTCATGGTAACATCTAGTCATTAAATGGTTGGATTACTTTTAGCAGACTACCGGAACACTACCTAAACATGGTTTTACCAACTTTAGAAAAGTACCTTGAAGGGTTATGAATAGTATCCAGTTAAGCCTTTACCTAATATCTAACCATCTGCTCTTACACTGGGCTTTATCCTTTCAGATTACCTTCTAAGGTTTGGTCACACCAGCAAACTGAAAGATTTTAATGTAAATAAAGGAATTTATATTAACATTACTCATCTGTATAACAGTATTTTAGAAACAGATTTGTTCATGTCCACTAGTAGCGATATGATGTTTATGGTGTGATCCAGTCTTTCATGGGTGAAAATTATCACAAATGTTATGCTTGTTTTCATACTGAATATCAAGCTTCCTTTAGTACAAAATTTTTGTTTTTAAAAAATAAGCAAACCTCATTTCTGTAGTGTTCAGTGATTACCTGAAGTGATTTTTCTTTTATCTCCTAGAACTTAAATCACACATTACCTATTTTTATTAATGGTGAAATAATTTGATAAAATCTAATTGTAAGAAAGGTTCAGCTTCTGTCAAATGATTCTATCATATTTGATCATCATTTTCAAGAACTAGCCCTTTTCTAAGTGTCTGTATATGTTCTAAAACTTCATGTATGTTTATACAACTTAGAAAATGTTACAGTAATCTAAAACAGCAAGTCTTATTGGAGTACTTATGTTTGTTTTCTCAGTACTTTTTTTTTAAGTTTAAAAGTGTAATTAAACCTATATTTTGTGGGTTTTGGTCTGTGTTTTGAAATTCTTTCTCTTCTCCTTCCCAATTTCATAAATGAAGATATGTTTAGATATTGAATGTTTAGACATTGAATCATCGTGTTAAAGGCACAATTGATCATACTGGTTGTACTGTGAAGACAGACTTTTAAAAATAAACAATTTAAAGCATGTGGTGATTAGATTAATATACAAATATCCCAAAGCTCGAGCCATGACTAATTCAGATTGCAAAATTTGAGTTACAACTCTAATACGAACTTTTTATATTTACTTGCAAATAAAGTTTCTTTTCAGGGCATCAGTGCAACTAAGTTGGAATTTAGCTAATTCCGAATTTTTAATGCCATTCTTAAAGTACTATAAATACACTGTATTGAGAATAAACCTAAACATTACTGTTTCTTAATGCTACCTTTTTTAGGACAAATGATGAATGATGGATGTAGAATAGACTTTAGCAGATTTTGACCCCTAAATGAAGTTTGCATTGACCTTTACTTATATTTTCAACTACATTGGTGGCTTTTTCAGGAATGACAAATCTGTGTTGCTGAATACTCACTCTTTAATGCATAAGACTGATGTTTACTTTTTCAGTGGTTCAATCTCACTAAGCTCTTAGACCCCAAGTAAAAGACCAATTTGTGAAACTGGGCCATTTTAATGTTCTTACAATTTAATAAATAATTCTCTTGATGGCTGCAGTTACAAAAGCTGTGGTAGTATTGACAGTAATGGTGGTTTTCCTCATTGGTCTGTAGTCTTCAATAAGTGTAAGAAGTTATTGTGTGAAACATCTTTCAAACCAGTAAGACTGCATTGATGCATCCATCATTTTCAGGATTGTTAGTTACCTGGGCATATTTACCTAAGGAAAACAAAAGCCAAAAAAGGGAAAACAGAGGAAGGTTAGCCAGTACAAATTAATTTGCCTACATGTGTGTGTGGTGCTGATGATCAAACAGCTTTGCATGTGCTACACAAGTATACTACAACTCAGCTATATCCCAGCTCAAACATTAAGGATTGTAACCTTTGCTTAAAATATGTCCAATTACCATTTTAAAAAATAAGAAATGAACAATAGAGAACAAATGAGATTTTACAAACTTAAAATCATTCAAGACCAAGTTGTGTTCTGAATAGTTTTCATGTAAATACTGTTTTTACAAGTGGTAGCCCTATTAGTATACTGTATTAGCAAGCCTCTACTTTTCCATATGACTTCACTGAAAAATGCATCAGGTTTTAAATGAGTTTCAAATTAATCTTAACAACCTTTTTTTTTTTGGTACGGATATCGAACTCAGGACCTTGCACTTGCAAGGCAGGCGCATTGCCACTGAGTCTGATAACCCATTTTACAAACAAGGTCAGCCAACGTGAAGTGTAAGTTAATGCCTCAGTTTTAATTATTACCAAAACAGTGTAGTTATGTCTAATGTATGCCTCTCTTCCCGAGAGCGGTAAATTTATTGTATTTTCTTCCAACACTTAAACTTTGATTCTTCTTCCCTTATAAAGTGAGTTTCATTTTTAATTGTGCCAAGTAAGGTGGTACATGCCTGTAATTCCAGCACTTGGGAGGCTGAGACAGGAGGATCACCGCAAGTTCAAGGTCAGCCTGGGCTACATAGTTCAAGGCCTGCCTAAACTACATAGTGAGACCTTGTCTCAAAAAAAAGTATTAGAATGTAGTATACCTTATGCAACTGGAACCAATAAGATACATTTGAAAAGAATTATATTTTAACTCTTCTACAAAGAAATACTCTTCCTAAAGATTTAATAGTTTGATTTAAAGTTTTAGCTTGCTCTCCCATATTAAAAAAACTGCCGTGTAATTAAATCATCTTGAAAAATAACTATTGTAACTGTGAAACAGCAACAGCCTACATTCAAAAATTAACTTACCCCAAATAACCTTGCCTCCTTGTGTCACAAGGCCCAACTCACTCACATTCACTTCAATCACTGTACCTTTGGTAATAACACCCAAAGTTGTATATAGTGGTGATGAAGGATTTTTTTTCACACCAAGTATTGGCAGGCAAAAGGTGGCTTTCAGTTCAGGATGTGTTACATGGGCCTTCTTGAAACGTAAGCCCTACAAAGTCAAACAGTATTTGAGGCTAACATGTTAATAAGTAGTCATTTTTGCTTATCTTTCAGTCACCTCAACCATAAATTCAATAATGTCAAATCATGAAATATTACCATTTCTACGAACTAAAAACCTGACAGGATAAATCTTAGGGCAAAGCTCTCAGGCATGCATTCCTGAAAAACAAATTTTTTTTAACCATGCAATAGCTACTTTGCAAAATACATGTATTTTTGCTACGTCTAGTCATTTATACTTATTGAAGACTTACTTGCTACATGCCAAATACTATGGAGTTCCTAACTGGCTCGTTTTAACTTGATAACCTTATAACACACCCCACTCTGTCTTTGTGTTAAATGGTGAAACGGATCAGTAGGCTTAATGACTTGATTCCAGATTAAATGGTATATGGTAAATGGAATCCTAAATATTCCCATTTTAAGTCTATGTACCACAGCTACCTTCCATGAGACAGCTTTCTTTGTGTTTGATAATACAGGGCACTCAGAGAAGTCTTTGCTACAGAGACAATTATAGAGCTACATGGGGTCTTTTGGGGTGCAATACTTTAAATATCATAGTTGATAGTCTAATTTTTACCTGTATGGGAGTGGGGGGAAAAGGGACACTAAATCAGGTTCTCACTAGTGGATTCATTAAACTTGCAGGACACCCTGACTAATATATTCTTTTACAGAACTGATGTTACCAAAATGTATTCATATTATGAATATGAAATCAAAAGTATACAATAGAATCTGGAATGGATAAATGCTTTCTGTAAAGTACTAGAATAAACATTTTAGCCTTTGTAGGCTACATGGTCTCTGTTGCAACTACTCAACTTTTGGGGGTAGGGAGATGCAATTTATAAATGAGCAAATGTAGCTGTGTTCCAGTAAGACTTTGTTTACAGAAACAGACTGCCAACATTTTAATCAATTAAAAATTATTCAGGTTGAGCACTACCGTTCTAACTTCCTCTCTTTCTAAGCAGCCTGGAAATCTAGTGTAATTTAGTCTCCTTGAAGGGATTATGCAAAAATGTATTTGCAATCATATTTTTCCCAAAGCAGGGGTAAGTAAGGATTAGTTTAGGGTATCTGATCATCACTGCTATCAACAGAAATACTTTCATATTTCCTTTAAGTGATTACATACTGAATGCTTTCAAGAGCATTTATTTCCCTTACTGCAGTTGGATATGCCTATAATCCTAGCACTTGGGAGGCTTAGGCAGGAGGATCACTGAATTCAAGGTCAGCCTTGATGACACTGTGAGTTCCAAGACCAGCCTGACCTACAGACACTGCCTCAACCAAACCCTCCCCCTGCCACCCTGCCCAAAAGCATATTTCCCTCACTAAACTAGAATTTACTCTGAGAAAACAATTCTACTCAAATTTTCTAACTGGTCTCCAAGAGGCCTAGCACAGTGTCAGGCATATAGTATATCATTTGTTGAATGAGTAAAATGTTCATTGTTGGAAAAGGAAGATTCTAGTATAAGCTTTAAAAGTCCTACTTCATTGACCATGTCTGTTAAAAAGAATCTTTTACATTTCTTCAATCTTTTATGAAGCTAAAGATAAGATTCTTGACTGAAGTGGGAAAAGTGCCAAGTAGTCCCTATTAGTAAGTTAAAGTAATAAAAATGAGATTTAAAAAAAAATCTTTCACCGTTTTTCATACCAGTTTTAGGAACTCCAGGAAACTAACATACTTTATCCAGTGTAACAAGGGGAACTAATTAAATTATCACTCTTCCAAAGGACTTACCATTGGCCTAATGAACCTTTCGTATTTTGGTGGTTTTCTTGTAAAGCCATCTCCAACAAAGCAGACTTTAGTAACCATCCTCTTCCATGCCTTCTTTTTTCTCTTTCCAGTTCGAATAACTTTCAATACTTCTGTCTCTCCCTGTGCACGAACTTTGGGGAGAGGGACTTCCCATTTTCCCTAACAAAAGTTTACATTTATATTGTAATAAAGGACAAAATGAATGTTTTAATCACACAAAGAAGCATGTTCAAATAAAATATTCAGATGTTTTAGCTTCAGTTGTTTTCTATGTCTGTACTGTGTCCTTACAAACCACAGTTAAGCAAAATGAGTTGGAGTTTACATGTACATTAGACAAATGGGTTTCCTAAGCTAAAACTCTTAAAGCCTTATTATGGGCGAAAAATACTATCTGCAGTAAGGCATGGACTTTTAAAAACTGTGTATGTGCTTATTAATTAACATAGAACAGGAACACTTTTCCCTTAATGAATCTTTGTATTTCTACCTCAAAAAGATTTTTCGATCATATTACTAATAAGACAAAGTTCTCATCAGATGTTTTGTACCTCAGTAGAATGCAGATTTTTATATGTGTGTATATTGTGTTTTCCTATAAACAAAACTGTAGAACCATAAGATAGCAGAAAGAATTCTGGACTTAATTATTAAGACAAGTTCTAAATATTTAATCTTAATTATTAAGATAAATTCTCAGAGTAACTCTACGAACCCATAGATGATCATGACAAATAATTTACAACCTCTTGGACTCTAGTCTTTTCAGCTATAAAATGAGAGGTGCTTAAGTAAATAACCACTCAAGTTTCTTTCAGTGCTAAAGTTATACCATTCTAATTTGGGGGCTGATTCACAGTGTTTACAAGTATTATGCCCCCTTTGTTTTTTGGCAGAATTTTATCTATTGCGCTTACCAAATACAATCTGGAGGGTTTTTTTGCTTGTTTTTGTTTTAAATGCTGACTTTTTATTTGGGTTTTATCACTTAAGAAGTTTTCCCTATTTTGGTACTGTAGGGCAACAAAAACAAGAAATAGTGGTATTTCCTCCACAAAACAAATAGCATTAGGAGCTTTCAAGTGTAGGAAGCCAGTAAGTACTGAATATGAAATTCACTGTTTACTCACTAAATTGTTAAGTACTGAATATGAAATTCACTGTTTACTCACTAAATTGTTTTAATTTTTTAAGACAAAAATGTCTTAAGTCAATAAATTTTTAAAAACAGTTAAATTTTAAAATGTGAAGATGAGAAACCA